GACCCATGGCTACAATAACGGGCTCAAACACACCCACCACCATGGTGGGGCGGGTGCAGGGCCAGGCAGTGTGTCTTCTGTTATACATGGGGTCGCTAGGAACTGGGACCCCCCTCAAGGGCACCCCACAACAGCAGCCTTTGCTCTGAAGCTCCTGAGTGGAGAATATTGCTCACATGCCGCTAGGCTAACCAAAGGTTGCCTTCCTTCAAAGCATCTTTTCAAGTCTCATTATCTTAAAGCATCAAGAAAGGAGGCCAAGATGCCACCACGTGCCCATCCAGGCTGGGGCTGGTGAGGGCTGCCATTTGCACAGTGAGGGAACTGGTGATGCTAATTTCTGCAGGTGGGCGGGCCCCTGATTAGCCCTGGATCAGCAGCAGATGTCAAGATTGTTGCCAGGGGAGTGGAGGGCCTCACCCACATGGCTGGCATAGTGGAGCTCCCACATACATAGCCTGTCCTGGGGTCCAAACCCTTAAGGTCATGAAGCCATAAAGGTCAGGAGCTGGGAGCTTGCTGTGGTAGTTAGATTTCATGTCAACTTGCACCTGTTAGACGTGGAGTCCAACTTATCAATCACAGGCACAGCCTGATGACGCCTCCCTCGGGGGTGTGGCCTTTTTATAAGCCAGAAACTGAGAACTTCTGCATCTCTCTCTCTGCTCCTTCCACTTCATCTACCTCAAGAGAAGCCCCATATGGGAGTCAACCTTGCAGGTTGTCAGAGTCCTGCCATGTTCTTGGAACCATGTGACTCTGTGCCCACTAGCCTGTGGTCTCCCTGTTTCGGGGAAATATTCTGAAATGGATATGGTAATGATTGTACAATTCTCCTTGATAAGAATGAACGATTGATTTGTATGACATGTAAATTGTGTGGCAATAAAACTGTTGAGAAAAAATGAAATAAAAACCCATTTGCCTGAGACTCGGTGTGGGGACTGGCCGGCGAAACACTGAGGCAAAACACTAAAGGAGTGTGGCAGAGCAAAGGGGGGAGCAGAGCAGATTGGGGCCAGTGTGTGGCACCCAATCAGACTTGACTGGGGACACGCCTAGAGTTCAAAAATCGGAACTTGATCTATTTACACGTTTTTCTTTCTTTTTAAAATGTTTTCTTTTTAAAAAAA